CCCCGACAGGGCCAGAGTCTCCGCAGCTACAGTACTGGCCACGGCACGTTTAAGTCGCTGTGACCGCCAGGCCAGCACACTCACCTTAGCTCGCTTATTCGCTCTGATCGAAGAGTCGGCAGCCATGATGAGCCATGCTCCCTGAGCGCCTCCTCTGCGGGCTGACCCAGGGCCGCCCGCATCACTTGCCGTAACAAAAACGAATGAAAGCGGGTCGAGAGACCAGACGGTGAGCTTCTGCTCAGCAGATCCTCGAAGAAACTTTACCGTTTTGATCAACATGAGAGCGTCGGCGACTGTCGGCTCAGGAAGGGCCGCAGCTAGCAGGGATGCTGGTCCCGCCACGTCTGGACGAGATTCACGAGCAAGCCACTGAACCTGTGCCACCACCGTACGAAAGGAAGCAATCTCATCACGAGTGAGAGGGGAAGAGGGCGAACTCCTACGCTCTCGGTCGAGATGCATCAGCGAAAGCTGTTCACGCACGTATTTTTCTTGATCTATGGTTATTCCATGGGGAAATTGCTTCAATCGTCGCCCGGCGTACTCTGAATCTTCCTGCTTCCACTTGCCAAACTTAAAACGATCGCACAAAGCCACACGAAGGGAGGACATGGACGCATCCGTGCCGGCTACTATAAGGTCGTCCACCTCAATTATAACCAGAGACTCGAGTGCACCCGTCGAAGCCCGCTTCAAATACAGACAAGGTTCCAAGAGCGATTTCACAAACCCAAGAGTGCCCAGAAACTCCGTCAAGGTTTGATGCCAGAGCAGCGGGGCGTCATTCAAACCGTAAACCGGGGCCACCAGCTCGATAAGTTGATCTGGCAACAAATCTAAACCTGAACATGGCTCCACATAAATCGTACCATTGGGCCTGCACAACCTGTTGCTTTGACAAAACGCGTTCTTAGCATCGGCAACATTTAGAACCCACCCGAGAGACGCTATGATCTGACACACCAAAAGGATCGACTCAGACTGAGGTGTTGGGGCGTACACCGCTAGGGTGTCAGCATCTGGGTCCTGATGGCCATGTACACACCATCGAGACTTGGCCTTAGCAGCTGATCCCACGCCTTCGGTCGGTTTGAATCGGCGAACCATTCTCGATGACATGATCCGATCTGGAAACCGTCTCCGAACACTCCTGGACTCTTCAACCGAGAGCACCCGCACGGCTCCTGACGAGACGATGGCGTCCCACTCGGCCTGGTCAGAGTGGATGAACTGTTCCCTCTCGGCTGGGGTCAGCTTCTTGAGACAAACCTCGGCACCCCGAGGATTGTTAGGCTTGGCCTCTGCCGTGCCGGAGAAATCAGGCTCAAGCCAGAAAAACGAAAGGAAATCAGGCGACCCAGAAATCTGGGACCACTCACGCAGCTCGTTCAGCAGCCGCTGGTCTTGAAAATCGTCGGGCTCCGACCAGACCGCATAACGGACGCCATCCCCAGCCCCAGAGTCCTCGGCTCCCTCACTGGCCTGCCTTGGGCCTGTCCCAGGGGACGATTCGAAAGGAGCCGATCGGCGAGCCCTAGGCTGGGACACCGATCGCAAGGCGGGGGCCCGACCGTACACCCGGTTGGCGTAAGGAGCTTCTGGAGGAGGAAGAGCTGGCACCTCAGCAGCCTGATCGGAACCCTCGATCTCCCCTATCATGTGAGCAACACGCGGAACTCCTGCCGGCAGCTCTTCAGCAGGGGTCCGTTCCAGACGCGGTCGAACTGGACGCTCGGAAGAGGAGTCGTTCGCCTCCGAAGCTGGCCTCGCCTGTCCCCTGGCCTCGTCGAGGTCCGGAGAAAGGTCGAGAGCTCCTGGCTCCGAGGGGGAAAGACCTGGATCCTCACGAGCCTCCGAGACCTCGGTACTGATGGCCCTCGCCATCGAAGGCTCTGACGGCGGAGACAGAGTAGTTCCCTCATCTTCTCGACGCGGGCCTAGGGGAACCTGACGCGGGATGTCCGGAGCGGTAGGCGGAGCCAACACCCTAGAGGCAGGAGAGGGATCGACCCTCTCCTCGGCACCCCTCCTGTCCCAAGCTTCCGGTGGGGGAGGGCCCTCTGAGGCCACGTCCACCGCCCCGATCCTACGCCCTGGGGCCCGGACCTCTTCCCGAAGCTGATCGAAACGGGCCGTGTCGAGAAGCTCAGCCCCCAGTGATTCCTGGCGAGTCGCTGGTCGGACCTGCTCCTCCGAGCACTTGTACAACTTGGATCGCATAGCTATCCAAATTGTGCTGCCGTTCTGGTAGACAACGACCCCGGGGCCAGTCCACCTGTCCCGCTGCAGACTGTGAGACCTGTTCGCTGCTGTCACTCGGCGCCACACGTACACCCACTCGCCTGGCTTGAAAAACTTGTCCGAGTGACCTCTGGCGCGGCTCGCCTCTGAAAGTCGAGACTTGGCGTCCAAGCTCGCCAAAGCCTGACGAGCGGCCTATCGGATCTGGTGTCGACGAGCGAACGCGGCCGCCGCGGAGTCTGGCTGCATGGTTCCTCCCAAGACGTCCTCGGACCCGACCAGATCCAACGCGTCATCCGAAAGCAGGGACCTCGGGACCCGGGGATTGGCTCCCAAAACTAACTGCACTGGACTAAACCCCCCACGGTGATATGAGGCATTCTTGGCCGCCACGGCCTCGCAGAGGAGGGCCTCCACTTCTTCCTTAGTGGTCGGGGAGAGGGAAAGAGCAGCCTTTGACATAACATCCTTGAGGATCCCTCCATGCCTCTCACATTTTCCGTTGTAATGGGGGCTGTTGGCGGGTATCACCTGCTGGAAAATACCCTCATGCTCACAGCCCCCGGCAAACTCCCGCTCAAATTCAGCCCCCCCATCGCACAGAAGGACCTCCGGGAGACCAAACGGCCGAACCCACAACTGGAGAAAACCCCTCCAAGTAGCCAAGGCACTATTTTTAGGAAGCAAACAGGCCTGCTGGTAGTTGGTCCCATGACAAATCACATTCAACACTGGCGTGCTCACTCCATCCACTTCGACATAAAAGAGATCCACAGCCACCAGCTTGTTAAACTCATACGTGCGCGGAAGGTGCGCGTGCCTACGCCAGTGCGGACGAGCGTGAGAGGCGCAGGTGCCACACCGAAAGTCGGACTTCGTCCACTCAATCACCTCAGGCTTCGCACGGGCGACCCTTAAAGTCCTCAAGAAATCCTCGAGCGTGGGGTGGCCCAAATTCACGTGAAGGCGGTGCACCTCCCTCTGCAACGCTGGGTCAAGTCCCTTGGGTTGCTTCTCACTGGCCGGAATCCCGATAGGTCCGGGCAGACCCTCTGGGGCCTCCTCCTGGTCGTCTCTTGGTTCCGTGTCCCCCGGAAGACCCCCGAGCTCACCGCCCTCGGGAAGAGCCCCCAGAGCCTCTGAGGGGTACCCCCTCTGAGGGGGTACCCCGGGAAAACTGGAGGAACGTTCCTCTTCATCAGAAGGCGGCTCAGGGGCAACGAACGTCGGCAGCGTCGAAGCGAAGTGATACCACCACGCTGCTGCCTCCACGCCGGATGCCATAGCGAAGACAAGCTCCACCGGGTACTGCTCGGACTTACGTGTCCTGCGCCCCCCTTCCAGATGCAAATGCTCATGGTCGCGCGAGCACTGCCGCACGCAAGCACTGAGAAAGTGAGTCGAGTTGCTCATCAACTTCGTTCTTTTGCGAGATAGGGTCCCGTCGGGAACCACCGAGAGTCCGAACTCGCACTGATCGGTCACTTCGATTCGGACCCCCTCGCAAGCAGCCAGAGCGCGAACCTGCTTCAAGTCCCAAGAGCTAGCTCCCTCCGGGTGTTCCATGGAAAAGAACCTCCCACGCTCGAGCTGATACCGAGCCACACTGACACACAGAGCTATGTACTCGAGGCCTCGCTGCTCCACCTCCACCAGATCTTCGTGCCTCATCGAGCCCCACGAAGAGACCCTGGCTTGACTGAACGCTTTGCACTCTGGAGACATCGCGATGAAGAGCGGTTGATCTCTCTCTATGGCTCTCCAGAGAGCCGCCTGACCCTTGGGGGTCCTCAGGTCCACCCCCGTCAGCAGGTCGAACGAGCTTGAGACGACGTGGCCACGCCGGGCCAGTTCCTTAGATACCCGAGGGGGTGAGAACACTTCTAAGACTAAGGAGCCCGCACGCGTCCTCTCGGCCTCGATTACCTGCTTGCGCCTAAGTCGTTTGCTAGACCGGTGGCCGCTACCGTCTAAGATCCGGGCCGTCGCGTCTCTCACCTTCTTGGGCACCGTGGCACCCCTCCATTGACTAGGTCCGGCACCATCTAGGGCAGCAGCCGCGAAGCGGTCCTCAATCACGTACCCGACCTCCCGACATCTCGTCCACGAACTCGCTCCCTGCTCTCCTTCCTGACCTAACGCCTCCGGACAAATGCAAGAGCACGATGAGATAGGTGAGGAGAAGATAGGTGGAGGAGGGGAGGAGAAGAGAGAATCCGTGTCCTGCCACACTCGGACATTCGGAAGACGAGCAGGGGATGGTTGCTGCTGGGTCCCCAAAGCTCGCTCCTCCTCGGGAACGGGGCACTGCCTCGCGACTGACAGCGCCAATCTAATATCTGACGTGGTCGCCCCCAGCCATGGACAGCTCAAACACACCCGACCTTCGGGGGAGGAAACTTCGATCCAGCGAGCCCTCTCTGGGACCAAGCTAGCGATGCTCGTGCCCCCCCACGCATCCATGGCCAGCGCGACGAAAAGGGAAGCCTTCTCCTGGCCGGAGAGCGTCTTTGGCCTCCAGCCGAGCCTATCTTCGAGATCTCCCGATCCGAGAAACGCCTTCCGAGAGCGGTCCCAGATTCCAAGAAACGGATCGTATCCTGAGGGTCCCACCCTAGGCTGCAGCCTGCGATGCCAGACTCCCATATCTCGAAGAAAGACGTTAGTGCTGTCTACCTCCCTACTCTGGGCGCCAGACCTTGCGCTCAGCGAGGCAAGGAGGTCAGGATCCTCGTGGGCCCTCACGCTCGTGCCGTTCAGGCCGGCTCCTGTGATCCCGACGCGCCCGGGGACGACGGCGCCGAAGAGGCCTGCTGCTGCATCCGGGACATCATCATCGCGATCCTCATCATCTCCTCGTCGCTCAGGCCCTGGCGCGGTTGGCGCATCACCTCGGATACCCTCTGGTAGACCCTCTCGTTCTGCGCGCGCTGCTGCTCGATCACCACCGTCATGTCCGCGAGGGCCCGCATCATCTCGGCCGTCGTCATCGGCCTTGTCCCCGGCGGCGCCTTGGCCGGCACGCTCTGCGCCTTCGCCGGAGGGGGGTGCTTCACGGGAACGTAGCCCTCGGCCGCATTCACGTAGAGGGCCATCGGCACGGCCGTCTCCTTGACCGTCGGGACTTCCGCCTTGACCCCCACGATCTCGCGGCCCCGGCTCTCGTGAAGCCAGAGTTGCTCGCTCACTGGGTCGAGACGCTTCTTCACCTGCGTAGGCTGCGGCGTCCACGGGTCTGTCTCGCCCGTCCCCTCGAGAGCCTGCGCGTACTCCTCGAGCTCCTTGGCCACTATCTGCTTCACCTCCCGGCGTGTCTGCGCCGCCTTTGCCTTCACCAGCTTCTTCTTGGCAGCCTCGAGCTTCTCCTCGGGCGTCTTCTTGTGGTAGGCGATGCGTGTGTCGCACCTGCGGCAGTACGTGTAAGCGGCGTGCGCATTCGCCCCTGACCACTGGGCCCACGGCGGGCGCGGGCACTCCTCTGGATTCGCCTCGCCGCGCTGCAGGAGGTGAGGGACCATGCCTGAAACCGAGCGCATGTTCTCCGTCGCCGTCACCGAGCCCATCAGCTTCAGGAACATCGAACGCCACCGAGCGCTCGCCGGGCCGAGACGAAGCTGGCCGGCCAGGAACAGGTCCTTCTCGTGCTCCGTCATCTCCTCTGCCTGTAGCATCTCCGCGATCTGCATCGCCATGTAATCGTCCTGCTCCTCGTCCGTCGCGGAGGCCTCTGCGCCGAGCTTCTCCCAGGGACTGGTGCCCTCCGGGTCGCTGACCTCGTCCTCTGGCACGCTGTGGAGACGGCGCCTCCCCGGGCTCTCTGACGCCTCGCGCCTCTTGTTGATCGTCTTGCGCGAGCGAGCGGCGGACGTCGCCATCGCTCTCGTCGAGAGGCTGTCGTGGGGAGAAAGAAGCTAGCCTCGCTCGAGCCTGAGGGGCTACGGATCCGCTTGAGTCACGCCTGCTGCCCCCAGTAGCGGGTCCCCTTGGAGCACGATTATCTTCGACGGGCCCCCGGAGCTCCCGGGAGGAGAGAGAAGGAGGAGACTGCTCTAGGAGGCACACTCTCGCCTCCGACTGCACCCTACCCCCATCACCCACCCTCAGGTCCTGAACCACTGGCGGGAAGCACTCCTCCGGCAAGGACGCACGGACCGCGTGGGACACCTCGAAGTGCTTCGCGTCGCCGAAGATGAGGCTGACCGAGCGGTGCCCCGATAGGTGCCTGAACAGAGGCCTGGACACCCGGGTCTCTCCCTCGTCGACCTCGAGCGTGCCCGTCCTGAGGTCGATCACGGCGCCCATCAACTCCAGCAGTCTCGCTGGAAGAAGCGGAGGGCACCGATGAGGAATGACGAGAAACTCCACGAAGCCGTAGTTCGCAATCGAGATCGGCACCCACGCCTTGCCGATCGGCTCGGTCTTGCCGCCGATCCCGCTCGCCGTCTGGCCTGTCACCCCTCCCATCTCGCAGTGCACGTGGTAGCCTCTCTTCCGAAACGCCGTCACGAGTATCTCAAGATCCTCTCTGCCGATCAGCGCCTGGCCGGCCGCGGTGTCCACCAGGGCGTGCTCCACCATCGAGCGCAGCGAGATATTCACCGGGCCCTGCTGGATGTCCTTGATAATGCCGGTCCAGGCCTCCACGGTGCTGGCTTCGAAGAAGTCCAAGTGTCGCTCGAAGCCCGGGGGTTCGCCGTCGTTCTGAAAGAAATATGATCTCGGAGCTCCAGTCGTGTCCTTACCCTCGGCAGCTAGCCTATCTTGCTTAGATCGAAACGGTTTGCGGCATGACTCGGCCCAGTGCCCCTTCTCACCACAGTTCGCGCACCGAGACCGCCGCTTCAAGTCTCCAGACGTGATTCGCTTGTACCCCGGGCGAGCGGCTCTCTTCTTGTCGAAGAAGTCTCGCTCGATCTTCTTGTTTGCCTTCATCTTGCGCGCCTCTGCCCAGGATCTCCGTTTGTCCTTCCCCAGTTTCTCCTCGATCACGGCCGCGAGGACGATCATGAGCTCCTCCTCGGGGAGCTCCTGCTCCTCAAGAGCCGAGAGGAAGGTCTCCGCCTCGGCCTCGGGCAGCTCGAACGCGTCGTCCGGTGGATCCGAGAAGTAGGAGTCCACGTCGACTGAGACCTGCCTCGGGGGAGGAGGAGCATCCTCCACGTCAGCCTCTACGTAGGACTTCGACCCCGAGCTCGGGTTAGTCATCGTCGGAATCACGCTCTTCTCCCGGGTGTCGAGCTTCAACAGAGCCTCACGAATGGATCTGAAGTCAGTCAACCCTCCTGCCAGAGCGCGCATGTTCATCTTATTCTGCGCGGTCAAGTTAGCCCCTTCTTCCAAATATCTCGCTAGAACATTATCTGGCAGTGTGAGTCCATGTGTTTCTGCCTCGGCGATCTGGACATCTCGACGGAGAACATAATCTGTGATCGACTCGCCCCTGTGGAGCGCGAAGTCGAATAGTGCTGCTGACTGCGCCTCCCTCTGCCTGTCACCGGGGCGCTCTCCATTTAGAATGGCCAAGTGTTTGACAATCTTATCTACTCCATCGATATCGTCGAGCGTGCCCCTGATCGCTCTGAACTTCTGCTGGATGTCGACCGGGAAGCTCTCGAGCACCTTGCCGGCACGCACCTCTGGTCGATACCCTGTCCTGCCAGCCCAGCTCGTCAGGTTCAAGCGGTAGAGCTCAAGATGCTCGAACCCGAGCCAGAGCGGCGGTGGTCCGTAGTCTCTGCTCGCTGGAACTTCCCACCTGCTGGCACCCCACGGCTCCTGGGCCCAGGCTGCTGGCTCCTCGTGCCAGCGTCCGCCCGAGCTGCTGGCCCAGGGTTCTCCTCGAGCGCCCGCCGCAGTGCTATGAGTGTAGCCGTCCCACGCTTCACTCCAGCTGCGGCTCCTCGATGCCCATGCTTCTTCGTCGCCGTCGCCGGCGACCCATGTCCAGCGCCACCAGCCCGAGGGAGAGGAGTATCCGTGAGCATCGTTCGCCTGCCTCACGGGTTCCTCCCAGGCGTCCTGGACGCCCTCCTCGGTCTGGATCGCCACACTACGATTCACCTCTTCCTGCTGCTCTACTGTGCCTCGCGTCGCCATGAATGTCCCTCCAGTAGGAGTCCCCTCGTCTCCTTCGCCACCAGCTCCGCTTACCACTGTCTCAACATCGCAGGGCATGCTGGGGTCCAGGGTCGATGAGACGGGGGCCTCTTTTGGGACACATGAGCGCTACAGCACACAAGCATCAAAGCCAAAGCGGCTATACACGGGCCGAGCAAGAGAGGCGGAGGTACGAAGAGGAAAGACAGGGGGCCCATCCAAGTCGCACTTAGGGGTAGGGGGGACATCGGTGACGCCTCGAACACTACTTGGTAGACGGTCATGTGGTGATGGTAGATAGAATTGTAGCTGTTGGACCTGACGCGTAATTCCACATTTGATGGATCCCAAGGCACTGATACGGTTTGCAATACGTCATTGAAAACTGTCGCGACGATGCTGCCATCAACCAAGATGTCCATTCTGTCGGATTTGTGCCTGTAAGGGCTTTCATCGGCCCTTGAGCTGACTATGAAGGCTCCCACAGAACCATCGACGCAGGCAGGAATGGTCGCTCTCCATTCGGTGGACGTGCAACTACCAGTGCGTAAGTATTTGAAATCGCCGTTTTCGTTGCAGCCAGACAAAGTTGAGAACCATTCAGGCGTCGTAGGAATACTACATGCCGTGGAATCTTCATGCAATCCCCTTGCCACATCTGAACCGTTCAGCCCGAATGCAGACATCTGCATGAGCTGCATTTCGGCGCCCACAAGGGAAGCAAGCGCAGATGCCGTCGCAAAAACAAGTATGTTTGCCATCGTTGAGTGGATGATAGTTTGGAAGAGTAGCAACAAATGTTCAGTACAGATGCGGGAACACGGAGCGCTCACCTGGCGGATCCTTGAGCCCGAATGGCTTGAGCCAAACTGGCTACGGATCAACTGCTTGACGCACTTGAGAAATGATACCAAAACAATGTTGAGAACATATGGTTGTTTTGAAGATGTCCCCAGCGAGATGGAGCCGTGCTAGACGTGTTGGTCTGCAGAGCTCCTGCTCATGTTCTGAGGATGTCCCTAACGAAAACGTCGTTTTTGACTCAAGAGGTACTAGATCATCTCTGTCGACATCGCATGTTTCCGAGGGTGTCTCAGGCGAAACGCTCATGTTGGCAGATTCGTCACGTTCGCGACTTTCATGTTCTGAATAATGTCTCAAGCGAAACGCTTGGCTTTGAAAAAGACGATGTTGCGAACATCTCAATTGTAAGAGGATGTCTCAAACAACATGGCCACATTGACCAGCATATCCGGACAAGAACGGGAAGCTCCGCTTCTATGAGTTTGCATGCGCGCCCGCACGTATCTGCACGCAACGCGACATTGGCACACATGAGGCGCCCACATTTCAACAGGTACATGCAACTACACCACACCATGGTAACAAACGCCCTACGCAGCAACCGTGGCCACATCAGTTACCGCGGGCAACAAACGAACCACAGTTAAATTGCAGAAGGACCTCAGCAAACGTAACCACAATTCGACAGCTACCAACAGCTACACCAAACCATGATAGCAAACGCACTCAGCAGCAACCGTACCCACATTTGAGCATGAGTTCAGAGCTCTCGGTTCAATAGACGAACGCGACTGATGATTTCCCATCGGTCTATGACAATGAGCCTGTAGCTGCCTGATAGCTCGAGTTAAGGAGAAAACCGACAGCACCTGTCAAGATGACTCTAATAATACGAATAGGTTTGCGACCCTAGCTCGGCTAGCAGACCGAGTTCAGACCTCTGGATTCAACAGGCGAACGCGCCTAATAATTCTGAATGCGATAGGTGTGCTTACCAGCTCTGTAGCTGCCCTACAGCTCGAGTTAAGTACAAAATACCGACAACGCGTAACAAGATGACTCGAAACGGCCGATCCCGCCAGTGCTTTTTGGCAGTAAAAGGTACCCGATCGAGCTGAGATCAAGATGGCGAGCGGGAATAATATCGAATATCACGAGAAAAAATACTAGAGCTCAAACGAATTGTTGAATTTCGAGAAAAAAAATTTCAACCGACCAAACTGGGCGCCGGCGGTAAACCGTCAACCTTTCTTACCGCCGGGGGACTCGTAGAGCTGCCTGACAATATATAATGTGGAAGAGAATCTCAGAGAACGACTAGTTTTTCAGCCCAAGCGATTATAGACCTCTCAAGATGACTCTAACAAAACAAACGAACAGTTTTCCAATCGAGCTCGAGTATGAAACCGAGTTCAGACCTCTGAATGCGACAGGCGGACGCGTCTGATGTCTGCGGATCGATTCCTGTGATTACCAGCTCTGCAGCCCCCCATACAGCCTGAGTTAAGTGCAGAAAACCGAGAGTACCTCTCAGGATGACTCGAATAATACAACAGTTTCGCGGATCTCGTTCGAGCAGCAGACCGAGTTCCGAGCTCTCGGTTCGACGAACGGACGCGCCTGGTGTCTCGAAATCGATTCCTGTGACCAGCAGCACTGTAGCCCTCCCCCAGCACGATTCAAGTACAGAAAACCGAGAGCACTTCTCAAGATGACTCGAACAATACCAATAGGTTCGCGATCCTAGCTCGGGGAGCAGGCCGAGTTCAGAGCTCTTGATTCAACAGACGAACGCGCCTGATAATTCTCAATCGATTTCTGTGATTATCAGCTCTGTGGCTGCCCTACAGATCGAGTTAAGTACGAAAAACCGAGAGCGTCTGCTACAATGACTCGAATAATACGAATAGGTTTGCGACCCTAGCTCGGCTAGCAGACCGAGTTC